ACCACTCCAAACTTCCTTCTGAATGTTTTCTTCTCCCTCAGTATTTTTGACTCTGCTCTCTCCTGGTTCTCTTCTCGTCAATTTATGTAGTCTCCTATCTCCTTTGCTGAATAATCACTCATGCTTTGCCCCATTACAGATGGCTTGAATCCTCTTCTTTTTTTTTCCTTTCTTCTCCATCTCTCAATGATTTTGTTATATCCCCATGGTTTTAGCTATCATCTTTTGTTGCATTTACATCTACGCCCCTACTGATGCTCCTGAGTCTGCTGGACAATTCCACCTGGATATTTTTATTAGCATCTTAAACACAGAATGTTCAAAACAGAATGAATTCAATACTTTTCTCCCTAAACCCTTCTCTCCTCCAAACTTCTTTACTTCTGTTGATAACACCGTTATCCTTCCAGGTTCCTAGCCCTGGTAACATGCTTGACTCTTCCATCACTTTACCCCAAATGTCCAATTGAGTCCTATTGAATCTATCTCTACAACATCTTTCCTGTCTGTCCTCTTATTTTCACTTCCATGTCTACTACACTAGTTACAGGTCCCATTGCCTCTTGTCCAGACTATTACAGATGTCCCTTTCTTCTAGACTACCCTCTCCAATCCATTCTGCACCCGACTTCCAAAATAAAGCATAAGGCTGGCCATGAAACTCTCCTGCTTAACTAACTCCGTCTTGGGAAAAAAAATATACACTGCTCCATTTGTTTTAGCCCTTCCAAGTCATGGTCCAACCTACCTGCGCAGGTTTGTTTCACTTTAATCTCCTTTACACATTTCTCATTCTGATCCAGTTGGTGTACCTGCTGTTTCCCAGACCTAAGCACTTCATCTCACCTCACCCCTCCCCACCCCTATGCCTTTGCACAGACTGGTCTCCATTCTTGACATGCATCCCTCCTTATCTCTGCCTTTTAACATCCCTAGTTTCCTTTAACATTCAGCACATGTGCTCCTTCTTAATGACAAGCCTTTCCTGATCCCTCTAGTCATTAACATTTTCTTTCTCCTCAAATTGTCTTGCATAATCTTACCTGTTTACAAGTAGTATCTACCCAGTAAAATATAAGTTCTTTAAGGGCAAAGACTATTTTTCATTTTGTTTTCATATCACCAGTGCCTTTTAAATGTTTCTTGGACTGCACAGAATTGTTATGGAAGCTATTAGAGGATGTGAAGGAGTCTGGTCATGTATAGGCAGCTCTTTTCTTTTTCCCCTACCCCTAGCTGAAGGCACCTTTCTCATCTCTTACCTGAGTTACAGAAATGACTAGTTACAGCTCTGGCTCTTCATTTTGACTTTGTTCTCATCCCCTTTTTCATTCACATTTTCCCACCCCTTATCAGTGTCAGAGATTCTCAGCATTGGAAGGGACCAGAGAGGAAATCTAGTCCAACTTTTACTTGATGGAGATGTCTCCCCACAAAATTCCCTGACAAATTGTTAATCAGTTTTTTTCTGACGACCTCCAGTGAGAAGAAACCCACTCCCCTCTGGAGGCAGCTGATTCCATGTCTAGATTCCTCTAAATATCAAGAAATTGCTCCTTCCATTGGCTTTAAAATTGGCCCTGTGCAGCTTCTACTAGGATCACCTAGGTTCTATCCTCTGGAGTCAAGGAGAAAAATCCTAATTTCTTTTCCATGTGAAGTCCTTCAAGTGCTTAAAGAAGACTATCTTATCTCCCTAGCCTCTTCTCCTTTAGACTCATTGCCTTTTACCTGTTTCTACTTTTATAGTTCACCAAGTCACCATCTTAGATCACCTTGTCCCCCTTTATAAAAAAAAATCAATCTATTGCTTCTGGCCTTCATCCACTATTTTTCATAAGCCTGATACCCCAGTTCTTCCTATCTGAAAAGTCCCTTTGTCCTTCAAAACCTTGCTGAGGAGGCTTCTGTTTCAATGATTTTCCCCCTTAAAATTTACTCCCGGGGTTCCATGATACCCCTTATCAATGCATCAGCTTTTCTTACCATGGTGTGTGCTCAGCCTACTAGTCCTTATAGATTTCTACTTCTGAGTTTAGCCCACCCAGGCAGATTAAAACATAATTGGGAAACATTTAACAAAATAAATAAAAACACAATAGAATGTAGATAATGTTAACATGGGCCAAAGCACTTAGCACAGTGCCTAGAATGTAGTAAGCATGATATAAATGTCACTTGTTGTTGTTAAATATTCGACTGGTTTACCGGCTCCCATTTTTATTTGATTTTGACACCACTACTATAAATGACAATTAAGGAAAGAGAGCATTCTTCCTTTTGCACCAAGTCATGATAAACAAATGAATGGGGAAAATAACTTAGCAATATTAAATAAATGTGAAATAGGAATCTCTGAATTAGATTTTATGTGAAAATTGAGTTTACTCATGATTCTTTCTCCTAAGGCTTTACTGAATTGGCTGAAAGGCAGCTTTTTGAATTCTAGGGAAAAAAAATCACCTTCCTTCTACTTTCCACAATAGATCCACCATATTTCTGTGTCACTGAAACAAGTGATGGCCAGTACCTCCTATTTCTATTTTTAATGAGCTTTTCCATCAGCAGGGAAATAAGAACTATGTGAAGAGTTCTGACTACATTGGAATGAAACCAGAGACCTCTCCCTGCCTAAGATACATATGCAGTTTGCTTTTACTTTTGAAAACATGAGGATGACTAAGAGAACCAAATGAGAGGATGCAACAGCCAGTTCCCTAGAATCTATTCCTCTTGCCATCCTATTCTAGTCTCTGGAAGAATGCCATTATTTACAATGACTTCAAATAACCTTAAATGAATGATTCCTTTGATACCCCAAAAACCTAAATAACCACTTGGTTTTTCTGCCTTGAAGTTTTATTTTATTTTTTTCTTCATTCTACAAACTTGAAACCAGAACAGGAAAAAAGATGACAAACTATGGCTGTGCCTCTAACTGTCTTTCACACCTTGTGAATCTCATAAGCATGAGAGAAAAGAACTAATGCTTAGGTTGTTTATGTTGTATTTGTGTCTGTGTACGTAGGAAACAGAGAAATTTAGTGAGTCAGTTTCTCAATATTAGAGGTGCTATGGCTTGTAGCATGTAAATTCCTTTAAAGCTAGGACCATGTCTAGCTATATGTTACATGCCGACCTTAGCATATGAGTTCTATTAAATTTACTAAAGGTTATATTAAAAAAAAAAAGATATAAATAACCTCACCCCCTCCATTCAGGTGAGAGTAACTCATTATTAAAACCTAAGGAAAAACTTAGAAATTCATTTTAGATGTTTCATTAGTAGTTTATATGTTAGTAGAATGCATTGTTTTAACTTCTTAAAAGGGTCATATGTGGTCATAGATCTGTAGCTAAAAGGGACCTAAGAGTATGACACCTTCATTATAAAGATGCAAGTGAGGAACTTTCAAAATGGAGTTCAACTCAGGGTGCACATTTAGAGAAAATGCTGTAGGTGGAGGGAAAGGAGAGCCGACAAAGAAGAGTTAGTGGGAAGGATAGTGGATAGGAGCCTAGATAACAACCAGAGAGACTCTCTCATTTTCTCTTAGGCTTTTGGATGTCTTTTTCCTTCAAATTAGAAAAAGAAAAGGCATAGAGGAAGAATGTGGCTTGAGAAGCCATGAAATCAAGCTGAGATCATTTTGGAAGATGTTTCATGCAATGATTGGAGTAGGATGGAGGATGATGACTTGGAGTAGGTCCACTTTGGCTGTCATCTCCCCCCCCCCATTCTTCTGGCTCCCTAAGTGTCATGTTTTCCACCTCCTCTCATTTGCCCAAACAGTGGCAATATGTTTAAGGCATTGGCAGATTACACATCTATGCCTCCTGAGTTTTAATGTGAGGCATTTGGTAAGGACCAAGGTGGAAGGATGGAGCTGGGAGAATGGAAGTTTAGAGCTGAAAGAGATTTTTGATATTTTCTAGGTGTCCTCACTTTAAAGATCAGGAAACTGAGACCTAGAGAAGATAGGCATGTTGTTTTTAAGAAAATGGGCATTTTCCTTTAAACTAAAGATTTTCCCATATGTTAAACACTATGCATGAAAGTGTGAAGAAAAGACAGTTGCACAAGCTATATAATTTTAAAATACGTAAGTGATAAACCTGATTTGACAGTCACCACGCTTGCTGTGTTAGATCAGCCATCTTCCTGGGATATTTGTTTATATGACTGCTGAAGGTGTATCATAGCAAGCTTTTTGGTGGTGGTGGGGGAACAAAACAAAAGCAAAAACAAACCGGCATTTCAAAGGGCCAGCCAGAATCATGGAAATAGAGACTCAGTATAGTCAGATTATGATTGGAACTTTTGCAAGTGATGGGCATTGCTACATATGGCTAATTGCATGAATACATATCCGTAAGCCAATTGTTTTTAATATGCATTCACAGTTGCCTCCTACAGTGTGGTTCCTTATTTTTCTTTACTGTGGTTGAGGCAGGCTAACGGCTGCTGCTTGGGTTAAACGCAACATCTCACACTGATGTACCCGCTGGATAAAGTTGCAAATTTTATTACGCAAAAGTTGAGAAATAGCAAAGCTAAAGAGTGCTAAACTGGACACTTTGCTACTGTAGTATCTATTTTCGGAGCTCAGGGTGCTATATTTATAGATATCTATAAATATAAATAGAAAGAAAGAGATACAAAGAAAAATACATTTAAAACAACATTATCAAATAGTTTCCAGTGTCTGAGCTTAACAGTGAGAGCAAGAACAGCAACAATGAATTGTTTCTGTTGGGAAAATGCCCTTCTTTACCTGTCCTTGCCTCTCCCCTTCCTTCCCCGAGGGCTCCCCGGAGAAAAGCATAAAGCTGGAAGCATCTATTTCCCAACGCGTCCCAAAGAGGGGAGGACGAGCTTGGCGTCTTTTCCTTTGTCCCGTTCATTTTGTGTTCCCCTCCCCCGCTGTCCTGTCCCCCTACACACCCCCCCACCGCCCCCGCTGGCATTCCCTCAGGTGGAGGAGCTGGGGGTGGGACATATGGCTTGTAAAACTGGTTTAGACAGGGATCTGGCACCCCCCACTTCTCAGGAAAGTTGTTTGCTGCGCCGCGGCAGCACCAGCGGTCAGCCTGGCAGTGCCTCCCTCCTCCGCTGGGTTCTCTGCACGCTCTTAATGCGGGGCGCAGGGACGAGGATTGAGGGGGGGAGCGATGGATGGAAGGGAGGGAGGATGCAGCTCGTTCTACTTTCTTGGAGGAGAGGGGCTGGCCCTGGGCTCATGGAAAGTCGGAATCCATCTGGGTGGAGGGGAGCTGGTGTTTTCGGAGAGGGGGAGATAAAGCCCTGGCGAGAACGAGCGTGTATTTGTTCCACTCTGATAGAGAGTACCCCGAGACTTGACCAAACCTCTGCAGGAGACAAGGTCCCTGGCCCTGCCCCGAGGTTTATTTATAGCTCAGATAAGGAGCCCGAGATGACACAGACAGCAGAGAGGTGGTGGTGGCTTGGAGAGACGTGTGGGTTGGTTTCATTTTGCTTCATCTCTGGACCTGAGAGCTGGGTCCTGTTGACCCTTCCGGGGGCAGAGATGGGAAGGGTAAGAGACAAGGGATATTTGTTAGAAGCAGGGAGAAGACACCTCTCCCCATTACCTCCCAAGCCGAGGAGGGCGGGGGTTGCAGTTTCCGGGGAGTGCCTGTGGCTGGGGGGGCGCAAAGAGAAGGGGGAGGTTGCACTGAAAGTGCCAGGGGGGTGAAAGAAAGGAGTGTTTGCCCAAACGCATTCCACAGGAGGCCTTTTGTTATCTAGGGGTGTTTCATTGAGTTTTACCCTTGGGAATTTTAGGTCATCTCTTCTCTGCTTGTGGTCTGCCCGGGTGGGTGGAAGAAGCTTGGCAATGTGTCAGGAGCTGCTGCTGCTGCTGCTGCTGCTGCTGCTCTTCCTGCAGCCTGGAGGTGGAGTGACAGCTAACTTTCTTATTGACTTCACCTGGTCCCAAAGGGAGCTATGAGCTGGATGGACCCTGCAGGTCTAGAAGACTCAGCACAGAGCCTGGTTGTCAGGGAAAGAACACTGGCTTTGAAATCAGTAGACCTGGGGTGCAGGGAAAAGTATGCTGAACGTGCAGTCAGGAACACTCAGGTTTCTAGTTCCTCTTCTGGCACCGTCTCGGTGACTACCACCAAGTCACTTAATGTCTGTGAGCCTCGCTTTCCTTAACTATAGAATGGGTATAAATCATGCCTATAATACCTATCAAATAAGATAATACGTATGAAAAAAGCACTTTATAAACTTAAAAGCACTTGCAAATGTCAGATTTTTTTTTTTTAATCCAAGTAACCTTACGCAAAGTATCTAATTTCTCTGGGCTCAGTCTCCATTCTGTTCTAAATCATTTGATCCTATGAATCTTGGGGGCAAAGGGCGACTGCTGTTCAGAAAAAAAAAAAAGAACAGTCTTATAGTGGAAAGAGTGTTGAACCAGGAGGACCTAGATTCCGACACTAGCCACGAGACTTTGAGGAGGACATCTCTGAACTTCATTTACCTCATTTGTAAAATTAGTTAGACCCAATGATTTTTGAGGTTCTTTCCAATCGTAGCTCTATAATCTTATATGTCAATGCTTAACATCACCTAACTCTAAGGCTTGCTGCTTAGGAAATTCTTTTGAAGACTTTAAAACACTATAAAAATTTGAGTACAGTAGAACTTTGTGAGATGTCTCCCTCCCTTTGTAATGGGGTTGGAGAGTGGGAGAGGAGCCTGAATGGGGGCGAAGATTTTTTCCAGTTTGTACATCTAGCTGGGAGTAGCTGGGGGGGGCAGGGAGAGTTTTCCGTGGAGTTTGATAGCCTTTTCTATGAGGCTATCTCACTTCGTTTGGAAATCTATTTGGCCATTTAAAAAATTTTGAGAACCTCCTTACTTTTGTAATTCTGCACAAAGTGGTGATGGAATAAGTATCAAGAATGGTGCACTCAGATGTATAAGGCTAAATCAATAGGATTCAGTTTCACAGTTTGGATGTCTTGGAAAGCTTTTTGTTCTAGAATCTAGTAGGGTCTGATCTGGTGACCAGATCCACTATTCTCCTTTTCCATCTCCTCCTCCCCTTCTTGTTGAGGTGGCCCCAGGATTTAATCCCCCCAGCATTTAAGAGAAAAGTCTCTGATGCAAAATTAATAATACTGCTATTGCTTCTTCCTCCTACTGACACTGCTGAAGCAAAGCAAGATCTTTTGTGGAGACTCCTCAAGAATCCAGTGACAGCAAAAAGGTTGGTTTATGTCTGGCTTCCTTACTTCCACCGGGAGGGAGGGAATGATTTTCTCCTTCAGCTTCTAGTAGTAGAGAATTTTTTTTCCTAGAGGAGAAAAATGGGGGGAAGTGGGGTTGTTGAATTCCATTCTAGTGCTTAAAATTGGGAAGTGTTGACCCACACAAGCCACGTAGAAGTAAAAAAAATAAAAGATTAAATTCTTAGAAAGAATGTCCAATAGGAGGATTTTTCACATTGGGGCAGAGGAAGATGCTGGATTTATAATAGCCAGCCTTGGCAACCTGCTCCATTAGAAAGTACCTGGACCTGATAGTCCATTAATTAACATGACCCTGAAAAAAAACATGACCCTGGACAAGTTAATTGAGATCATAGCTTTGTACTGGAAGGGACATTAGAGGTAATTTAGGCCCATCCTCTTATTTTACTGATGGGGAAACTAAGACTCAGAGAGGTTAAAGTAGTAGAGTTGGGATGTGAATCCAGGCCTTCCAACTCCCACTGTAGTCCTCTTTGCCTTATTCCACATTGCGTTTTAAGCTAGTTTCTTTGAGGGTAAAGGTCTGATAAAAGTAATATTAATTTCTTAAAGTGTTTAGCATTGTATACTTTTCTACGGACTTTGACATCTATTACTATATCTACTATGTATCACAAGCAATTGATCAAGGTAATAGATGTGAAATTCCTTGGAAAAGTTTAAAGTTTTATTCAAATGTGAGGTCTTATCTCATTCCTCTGCCCAGGCATGGAAAATTCCTGTCTTCTCTTCCTCTCTCTTCTCCTCCCCTCCCCACCCCAAAAAACCTCCCTCCCTGTCTACTAGTGCCAAAAAGAAACCAAGAAATCTCTTAGGTGGAATATTCACAGCCCTGCTGGGGTATTTACTTGATCTTCTTCTGCCCTCCCCAATAGAGTTACTTTCTGTCATTCTGAAGCCATCCTTCTACTTTCTTTCCAATCAAATATCAGCTCCGTTTGTTCTTCATATCACCCTTATGTTTCCCACCCCCACCATAGTCCAGAGGAATGTCTTCCTGATTTACTGATATTGAAATGATATATAAAAGGGTTTAAGAAAATCTTTCCCTTCTTACCACTTTCAATAACCTCTTCCCCCAACATTTCTGAGATCTTAAAAAAAAAGAAACAGGGGGAGAGGCTGAAGAAATGGATAGAATGAGGGAATTATAATGATATTGCTGCTGGAAGAATAAGAAAATTATTACCATTGCCAAATAATTCCGTGAGGGGGAAAGGGAAGTAAAAAAAAGAGAGAGGCTTCCCCTGTTTGCCTAAGTGTTCTAAAAATCAGGAAAGACAAAAAAGGGGAAAAAACCCAACAACAATTCAAAAAAAAACTTCGAATAACAATACAATCCATTTAAACTGTGGCTCATACTTTTCATACCAATCTCATGACTTTTTTTTTTTTTATTCCCTAGTCTGATTCTTGAACTCTGGAGCTGGCAGCGTTGTGAAGGGGAAGTAGAATCTGACACTGCACCAGCAGGTTTACCAAAGGTCTCTAATGGGTATTTTCTTTTTCTTAGCCCTGCCCCTGAATTGTCAGACGGCGTCTGCCTCTCTGAAGTTTGCAGTGATTTCCTTTCCAGGCTGGCCTTATCTTGGTCCGCACGTTGCTGCCTCTTGGTGACTAATAACACAATAACATTGTCTCAGGATAGAAAAAAAAAAGTCTGAGCTGTTTACTCGCTCTATGGGGGTTCAGTATAAAAAGGAGGCAGAGAGCTGTCCAAGCCAGACTGGCTTCTGCATGAGCGCTGAAAGTCACTGAAAAGATCGTCGGGTTTCTAGTGCAGCTCACTGGACGATCGCGGAATTTTCAGACCTTTTGGATTGCCTTCTCTCCCGGCAGACGCAGAAGCTTTTCTTTTTCTCTTGCTCTGGACACCCAGACTGAAGAAAACTTTGGGTATCTGAATATCAGAAGTAGTTCAGGGTGAAATTGAAGTTGGTTTTGTGTGTTTTAATTTGAGCTTAGCTGGCAGAGGAGGTGTTTTCAGAATGGATTATTTCCAGATGATTTTCTCCCTGCTGTTTGTGGTTTTCCAAGGAGCTCCAGACACAGGTAGGCATGCTGGCTTGTAAGCTTCTGAGTATTAATGACTTAATTATCCACTTTAGTGCTTTTCTTGCTTGCCTCCCTCCCCTTATCCTTTACTATTGTGGCTCATAGATCAAATGTCTGGGAATTACTGTCTATAGCTACCAAATCGTGGAGTGAAAAATAATGAATAAGTAAGTTGCATATGTGCACAGTATGACAGTATATCGTTGGGTTTATTTATGCAAAGCAATTTTGTTGGTCTTTTCTCTATCGCTAAAGAACATTCAAATGTTGGACAAAATTTAAGCATAGTGCACATGTGTAATATACCTGTATTAATGCACAGAAGTATAAATATTACTATCACATAATGTTGTTGCTGATACTAACATGTCAGTATGTGTGATATTAGAGAGTGTTTCAACCTGAAGCTATGGAATTTTGTTCAAGTCTGATTCAGTGAGCACATGAGCAGAAACATCACCTAGAATACGGTCTGTTGAATAAACCCCCCCAGGTGGTTTCAGGGTGAGAGCAGATGCTTTCTTCCAATCTCGTCATTATTGACTTTAGTTTTACTTCTGGCAGGTTTTTGGCACTCAGCACAACGTGAGCTCTATTTACAGTTTTATTCACTTGTCTTGGGAGAGAGATAGGATAAATCTAGGTTACATGAAGATTTAACTTTGTGAGTGTGTACCTGTGTGCATGTTTGGCTTGCTGTCTGTGTGACCCAGACCAGAGGGAGTGGATGACAAGGAATAAAAACCTTGTCATGCATTTGTCTGATCACTGGAAATCTGCTGGGCAAGTCAGTTTCTGCAGCCAAAAGCCATCTAAAGAGCTAGCAAGGAGAGAGAATGCTGCAGGATCTAGTAGGAGGGTCTGAATATACTCCTCACAAACTGTGCTTTTTATTACAAACTCAGGACCTGGTATTAAAAATCTCTTTTTTGAGGCACAACAGTTTGGGAACCCTGTTGCTTAGATCAGGTTCCCAAAACTTCTCTTGAGTTTAGCCTAAGAACAGCAGCCTCCTAAGGCTTTTTAGATACTTTCTGAAATCTATGCTTTGGAGCTCATGTCTCCTCTCTCCCAGAAATGCTTCTCCCTTCTCCCTTCTCTATAGTCTCTGACTATATTAGAGAGGAAAGCAGATTTGGAGTAAGGTGGGAGATAACAGTGATTACTCTATAAAAGTTGATGTTAGTAGGTCACTAAAAGCTGTAAAAACAAAGTAATTTGTACATACATACATACATACATACATATATATGTATATATATATGTATGTATGTATGTATATATATATATGGAGTAGTATATGAAGGGAGACTGGTATATGGGAATACCAGGTACCCTTTCTTAAAAATCAGGGGCAATTTAAAGGTCATTATCCAAACCCAAACCAAATTTATAACAGGAAGAATTTCTTGAAACACTAAGGGGCTTCATAAAGTAGCTTCTTGAGGCATTTGTTTTCCCATGTTTCTGATACTAGAGTGGATAAGGCAAAGCAAAGCATTTAGGTTATGTAGGGAAGAAAAAAGAGTTCATTTCATGTATTTTCCCCCCAAAAGCAGTGTGCTTCATCCAAAGCAGCTAGGTATGAGTCAAATGCTAAAATTCCATGTATTTCTGTGGCTCTAAGATGAAGTTGGTTGGCTCATCCCACTCTCCTCTTTATCTCTCTTTTAGCTTTTGGTGCTGAGCTCAGCACAGAAGCCCAATCTGGTGGGGCCAACCAACCTCCCAGTGCACCCTGGAGGTCTCGCCGGTCTAAACGCTGCTCCTGCTCGTCATTGTTGGATAAAGAGTGCGTGTACTTCTGCCACCTGGACATCATTTGGATCAACACTCCCGAGTAAGTCTCTAGAGGGCATTGTAACTCTAGTCATTCATTCTAGCCCTAGTTGAAACTATAGCTTCTTTCCTGGGGAGCTCCTTGTTAGGTTTCTAGAAACTAATACATCTGAAGAGATTTAGTGCCTTTCTGGAATGCCATTCTTCCATTAAAAAACAAAACAACAACACAGGACAGTCTAGCGATAGAGTGGAAAGGATTCTCTAGACCACTGGTTCCACCTACCTGTCAGTCAGATAGGTAGTTATTGATAGATAGGAAGAGTCTGATACATGTGGGACACTGTGGCAAGATTTAAAGATAAGCGACTTTATATCAGTGCCTCAGAAAGAAATTCTCCAAGATGTTATACCAGCTGAGGCTTGGAAAATGAGTTCTCAGGACTGCATGTGGTAGATTCAATTTGTTTTCCTTATGGAAACGATTAATCCTTAGTAAGAATACTAATGATCATTAAGAATTATATAAAATCATAGCATTTTACTGGTGGAGGGAGCCTGGATCACCATCTAGGTATGGGATCATCCATCTAGAGCTAGAAGGGGCCTCAGAAGGTTTTTAGTCCAATTCCCTCATTTTACAGCTGAGAAAACTGAGACCCAAGGAGATCACACTAATAGTAAGCCTCAAAAGTGGGATTTGAGTCAGGCCCTCTGCCTCCAATATCCACTTTCCACTATACTACTGAGCCCAAGAGATTCAAAAATAATTCACTTACAGCCATGCAGTGAGTTAAGAGCCAGCTAGGTAGCACATTGGATAGAACACTGGGCTTGGAGGCAGGAAGACCTGAGTGCAAATCCAACCTTAGACACTTCTAGTTGTATGACCCTGCGCAAGTCACTTAAATCTGTTTGCCTCAGCTTCCTCATCTGTGAAATAAACTGGAAAAGGAAACAGAAAACCACTTCAGTACCATTGCCAAGAAAACCCCAAAAGGGGTCAATGAAGAGTCAAACATTATAGCAACACAGTGAGTTAGAGTTACTGTGTTGAATAAGAATTGGAACCCATGTCTCCTCACTCTCAATTCTGAACTCTTTCCATTTAGAAGGAACTATTTTAGAAGAATATGCATCCTCCCTCCCCATTTGTTTTTCTCCAAACAACTGTAAGCAAAAACACATCTAATATCCACGATGTCCTAGTTTAGCTTAGGGATGACTGAAAAATCCTAATAAGCATTACCTGAGTAAAGAGATCTTTTTTAAGGGTAGGGTTTCATCTCGTAGGTGAGAATCAAATCAGATACATTGGACGCTATTAGATATTCTGCTGGCCAGGATCATCTCACAGAGACATTTGATAACAATATCAAAAGCTTCTGACCTAGGGATATAAATCAGGCAGAGTTTTAGAGTCTCCTCTTCTGGAAGGAGTTGGGGCTTACTTCTGGTAGGAGTTTGCTGTGTACAATCTGGAGCCTGAAGTTGATGGGATTCAATAATCCCATGTGTTGTGGTGCTTCACTGAAATCCAAGGTGGGGGTAAAGATCTGTGTAGAACATCAGCAGAATAAGAAAATGTGAAACAGACACCAGAGTCACTTATGTGTTGACTTTTAATAATTTTGGACTCAAAAAAAATGCTTATGGAAAGAGGAATTTGAATCTCATTAAGAGCTGAATTACACTGGGAGCAGTAGGATAATGTGCACATTATACACATTCTGAACAAGCAGTTGACATGCCCCTGAAGGTCCTACCTTTTGTATTGACAACTTTATGCTGCCAAAAACCTTGGGTCAGATGAGCTCTTTGTATTACTTAAGGGGATAAATATACCCTGTTATTATATGACCATGCTATTTTGAGGGCAATCAATTATGCTAACATCTACTTTTTTCTTCTTTTAAACCTAGGCACACAGTTCCATATGGACTTGGAAGCCCTTCTCGATCCAAACGATCCCTAGAAGATTCACTTCTTACTGAGACAGCAGACTCCAGGAAGAGATGCCAATGTTCCAGCCAAAAAGACAAGAAATGCTGGGTCTTTTGCCAAGCAGGAAAGGAACTCTGGTGGGTAAAGACACCTTTCCCTTTTAGTCAACTTTGTAGACACCCAGACCTCTGCACAATCTAATATTACAATTCTAGCCTTGGAAAAAGATATTCATTGTGTTGAAATATAGCCCCAGAGGGGCAGAGTTGACAATACAATTGCTTTAACTTTTTTCTTTCACTCTCTCAGGGCCCAAAACACTCTGAAGAAAGCCTGGAAGGAACCTAAGAAAGGAAAAGATTGCATTGGTCATGGACTGAAGTGTGTGCACCAGCAGCTTGTGAATAGCAAGAAAATGAGAAGGTGAGAGGGTTTTCAGTGACACAGAAAAGGTCCTTTCATTAGAAGTGAAAATATCAGCTAAGTAACCTTCTGTTGCAAGGAGGTTCACAGAAGTTGGGGAACCCCCTCAGTTGAAGAGCTCTGTGGTTGGTAGCTAAAATAGGGCAGAGGAGCCATCTTGACATTTAATTTTGGGGTTATGAATATAAATGCAGGGTGCTGCCCCCCTCATGCACATTTGCGGTTTTGTGGAGCACTTGCAGTCACATCCCAATCTTACTACAGAGCTCCTTGTGAGGAAACT